TTCAATGGTTGCTGTGTGAACATGTTCATGTTCATGTTCCTGTTCTGTTGTGCACAACCTGGCTTGAGCACGTTATGGAATTATAACATTGGTTAATCCTCAAAGGTTGCATCATTTGCTTTTAAATATAACTAGAAACAGTTAAGGTGTTTGACATTTGCCTTTTAGGTTGCACATTTCTCCAAAATCCAGTTTCATATTCCAAACACAGAGACTGCATTTGCTCAGCATAGATACTAAATTGGTCAAAGGCCGGTAGTTTCTATTTTTGGGTTGCTATGTTTCACTGTAACTATGTTCCACTGAGGTCTTGCCAACTCCATATATTGGGGGATAAGAATATATTAACAATCCATTGTATGTTAGGGTCATTCAGTTGACTATGTTCTGAGTGCTAGGATCTCAACAAATCTAACAGGAAAAAAATGCCTTTCTGGTTGTAAAATGTTGCATATATTAATTACATATATTGCACAGGACAAAAGCAAACTATTCAATCCAACAGTTGAATTCCAGCACTTAAGCTCTCGACAAGACTAATCCCACTTCTCATTTAACCCAACAGCATACCATCATATACTTTTAAATTTGATCTGTTTAAAACTGATTCAAATAGCTTCCCCTAACTCCATCTGTACTAATTGCCTCAGACATTCACACAAGTGAGAGTAGTGAATTCCACATTCTCACCACCCTCAGTGTAAATAGGTTTCTCTTGAAATCTCCACTGCATTTATTGCTGACTGCCTTACATTTAGGGTCCATTCATTTTAGACTCTACTTTTCCATCCCCACCCACCCATGCACGTGCACACACACACACATACACAAAATCCATCAACGTTTCAGCGTTTTAAGCCATCTATCTGCTCAGCTCTCAGTGGGCCATGTTCATTTTTTCTATATCCAGAAGGACAGTAGCAGGACAATAAGGCAACTGACTGCCTCCTTCTCCAGGGCAATTCAGAATGGACAACATATGCTGGCATAGCCAGAGAGGCCATAAGACCATAACACCAAAAAATTTAGGAACAGAATTAGGCCATTCAGTCTATTGAGTCTGCTCCACAATGGCTGATATGTTTCTCAACCCCATTCTTTTGTTTTTCTCTGTAACCTGGATGCCCTTGGTTATGACGAACTTATCTATCTCTGTGTCTGTGTCAATGATTTGGCCGCCATAGCCCTCTGCAGCAATGAGTTCTACGGATTAGCCACCCTCTGGCTGAAGAAACACCTTCTCATCTCATTTGTAAAGGGCTGTCCTTTCACTCTGAAACTGTGCCTTTGGAAATGGTGCAGCTGAAATTTAGAAAATGTGATGAGGGACCCTTGTAATTGAGGCAAGACTGGAGAAGGCAGGTTTAATTGCTTAGACCAGAGAAACCTAAGAGAACACATGAAAGAGTTGTTTAAAATCATGAGAACTGAAAAGCAATTTTCTTCTTTGTTAATATCCACCCCTGTTGCCCTTGAGCAGGTGGTGGTTGCATTGGAGGCAAAGTTGGCAACTAAAAAACAGAGGTTAGGATGATTGACAAAAGAGGCTGTGGGGAGATGAATCTCATCGATTTTCATAATTGTTAAAGCACAGAAGGAGGCCATTTCATCTGCCATTCTGCACCAGCTCTCCAAATGAAAGGTTAATTTAGTACCTTTCTCTGCCCTCTCCCTGTGATTTCGTATGTTGTTCCTTTCAAATAATTCCCCTTTGAATGCCTCAATTGAACTTGATCCACCATATTTTGAAGTAATGCATTCCAAACCCGAACCACTTGTTGTGGGGAAATGATTTTCTTCATACCACTTAAGCTTATTTTACATTTATTTTAAATCTGTGCCCTGTCATTCTTGGTCCTCTCAACAGTGGATATATTTCCCACTTTCTTACTTTGTCCAGACCTCTTATGATCTTAATGCTTCTGACAGATGAATATCAGATTTCTCCTCACCAAGGAAAGCAGTCCCAATATCTCCATTTTATCTGCAAACTAAAAAACTGTCATCCATAGATAATTTTCGTAAATCTTTTCTGTACTCTCTCCAATACTTTCACATCCTGCCTAAAATCTAGTTCGGCCCAGAACTAGACACAATAGTCCAGTTGAAACTGAACTATGATCTTATACAAGGTCAATATAAATCCTTGCTCCAATACTTGATGCCCCCAATTAATAAAACTGAGGACATTGTATACCTTATCAACTGCTCTCTCTGCCCTGCCATTTTTAATGTCCTATATAGAAATACACCTAGGTTTGTCTGCTACTAACATACTTTAAAGTTGTATCCTTTATTTGATACTATATCTCCAAGTTCTTCCAATTGAAATGTATCACCTCACTCTTCCCCATGTAAAACTTCATCCAACAACTATTCATCCACTACACCAATTGTCTGTATCCTTCCTCACAGTTCACCATTCTGTCAAGTTTCATGTGATCTGCAATCGTTGAAGTTTTCTCCTGTGTGGAAAGGTCTAAATCATTTATATATACATCAGCAAAAAGAAAAGGTTTGTGATGAACGACCAGAAAACATTGGAATCATAGAATCCCTGCAGCACAGAAAGAGGCCATTTGGCCCATCGAGTCTATACTGACCCCCAAAGAGCATTCCACCCAGACCCAGCCCTCCACTCTATCCCATGATCACATATACCATGGCTAATCCACCCAACCTGCAGATTCTCGAACACTACAGGGCAATTTAATGTGGTCAATCCACCTAACCACCACATCTTTTGGACTACTGGAGTAAAACAGAGCAGCTGGCAGGAAAACGTACAAACTCCAGACATTTGCCCAAGCCTGGAATCTGGCCCTCAATAAGCTTGTTTGTTACCTCTTCAAAAGCCTCCAACACATTAATTCAACCTAATTTTCCCTTAAGAAATTCATGTTAACTCTTCCTAAGCAATCACTTATTATGAATGTAACCTATAATTTGTTCCAGTTTCTTGTTTCTACATTTTTCCCCAACACAGAAGATAAGCTAGCTGGCTTGTAGTTGTTTGGCTTTTCCTAACGCACTTTTCGTGAAAAATAATTTGTCTTTTAAAAAATATGCTATTGGATTTATCTCCATCACCAAGTCAGGCAGATTTCTTTTTTTGTAATTTTTGTTGAATTCTCCAATCTTCTGACACCACTCTACGTCTAAGAACAATAGAAAGGAGACCAGGGTCTCCTGAATTTGCATTCTGTCTTCACATAACATGTTCCAATGCACCTCATCTGCTCTTGGTGCCTGGGAAACTTAAAAGGTGGGTGGCATAGTGGCTAACACTACTGTTTCACAGCGCCAGAGACCTGGGTTTGATTCCAACCTCAGGCGACTGTCTGTGTGGAGTTTGCACATTCTCCCCATGTCTATGTGGGTTTCCTCTGGGTGCTCCGGTTTCCTCCCACAGTCCAAAGATGTGCAGGATAGGTGGATTGGCCATGCTATATTGCCCATAGTGTCCAGGGATGTTTAGGTTAAGTGGGTTAGACATGGGAACTGCAGGGGTAGGGGAATGCATCTGGGTGGGATGCTCTTCAGAGAGGTGGTGTGGACTTGTTGGCCAAATGGCCTGTTTCCACATGGTTCCATGAATATAACATAATTCTCAATTGTATATTCTGTTTCATAACTGTTGTAAGAACACATTATGAATTCTTCATAATAATTTTACTTCTGTTATCATCTAGCGAAGTCTGGCTTTTTTTGCCTTACCTATCTCTTTCAATACATTAATGGTGCCTATCCTAGCTTTCCTTTGAAAATAGCCCATTGTTTGGCTGCCAGGCTTCCTGTCAATCTTTGGTTCCAATTTATGCCTTACAAATCCATTCATTATTAAATGTCATTAAAATTGGCTTTCACAAATTAATTATTACTCCAAATTGTTCATTGTCATTTTCATTGTAACGCTAAACCTTATGATACAATGATCACAATCTCTTAAATGTTCTCCCGCTAACACTTGATTTTCTTGCCCACCTCACTCTCAATAATCAGGTCTGGCAGTTTTTTTCTTTCTAGTTTTACTGAAAACATTTTAACGTAGAAAATTCTCTTGACACACTATAGGAACTCTTAACCATCTCTGCCCTTTACACTAGAACCATCCCCATCTAAATTCAGATAATTAATGCTCCGATTAATACAGTGCTATAATTTTCCTCCTCTCTGTAATTTCCTTAAAAATCTTTCCTTTCCAAATATCAGTGGATTACAGACCATAACATCTTTTTAAAAACTGTATTTGATTTGACATGTATTGGCTGACTTGGTGATGGAAATAAATCTAATAGTATTTTATAATAAATATATTTCATAAAAGGCAAATTACTTGAATTTGGGGAATTTTGCTGTTCCGTGGGATAAGAACATAAGAACATAAGAACTAGGCGCAGGAGTAGGCCGTCTGGCCCTTCGAGCCTGCTCCGCCATTCAATAAGATCATGGCTGATCCTTTCATGGACTCAGATCCACTTACCCGCATTCTCACAGTATAAGGAGTGGGGGGTGGCAGGATTAATCCGGTATCTCTACTTGCTATCACATGAGAGCGCGAATAACATTTTCATTTACCGTAACAGTTTATGGTTACATTGCTGATTACAAGATGTAGAGAATAGCTATGAACAGAATTGGAAATGTTATCTATAGAGTAAATGATGGTTTGGTAAATTAATAATAGGTCAGACAAACATTCAAAAACAATTTCAAATTGACTGGAAAATATTTTGAGTTTGGGACAGAATTGCACTATAGTTAATTACCAAACAAAGGATCTGATTTCAATTCTTACTGCTTTGGTTGAAAGGTACAAAGAACACACACTGTGCAAAGAGATTCAGTGGTTTATTGCTAATAGGTAACTTGTTGACAAGAAAACAGACAGCATTATTTTGTATTTTACATTAAGCTAATTGTGCTGTCTAAGAAAATTTGAAGATGATTTTATTTTCATCTATGTTCTTTTTATTCGTCATTGTTTAATTTCCACACAGAACATGATGTTAAGGATCCTGTCACCACTATCTTTGGACCCTCTCCAGGAGAGCTTAAAGACAAAAAGAAGGCAACTGTGGTATGCCTAGTAACTGCCTTCTATCCTGACAATATCAAAATCCACTGGGTTGTTGATGGCACTGAATTATTGCCCAATGATTCGCGTGTTCAGACTGACCGCAATTCCACGTTAGAAGATGGAAACAAATCTTACAGCATCAGCAGTCGGTTCAGATTGCCAGCTAAAGATTGGGCCCAGTCCCAAAAAGTTGAGTGCAAAGTGGATCACTATCAACAAGGAACAGAAAAGAAAACAAAAACAGAAGTTTTACCCATCAAAGCTGGTAGGTGCTTGATTGGACCTCGTACAATTTTAATTTTAGTTTCAAAGAAAGCAGGAATGTTGATTTAAATAGTGCCTATTCTCTTGTGAAGAAGTGAGCAATCAGTTAAATCTGTAGATAAAAAAAACTAGCTAAATAATTCAAAAAATACATATGTAGATTAATATAAAAGTAATGGGAAACAGTGTTCTAAAATCTTGAAACAACAGCTGTCACAATGCAACAGACTGCAGACTCACACACAACTAATAGAATCCCCACAGAGTGGAAAGAGGCCATTTGGCCCAATTAACTCTCTGAAGAATATCTCACTCAGACCCAGCCCCCACATTTACCATGGCTAATTCAATTAGCCTGCAAACTACAGGGAAACTTAGCATGGCTAATCTACCTAACCTGCATCTCTCGGACTATGGGAGGAAACCAAATCAGGCACAGGGAGAATATGCAAACTCCGCACAGTAAAATTGAACCCAGGTCCTTGGCACTGTGAGACAGCAGTGCGAGCAAATGTTCCACCACGCCACAATATGATAATCTAATATGATTTTGATAATCTGTATCTACACAATAATTCCAACAAGTACTCTGGTGCTAATTTTTTTTAAATCTCTTTCAGAAATCTGCGGTATAAGTAAAGGTAAGTCACTATATCCTTCTACCTGCTTCTGGACATTATGCTTTATGAAGAATATAAGCATCCATGAGGGGTTGTGGGGTGGATTCACTACAATGGACCCAGGAATGGAACTGTTAGTTACAAAGTTAGGCTGGAGAATCTAGAGTTGTTCTCTTTGTAATGAAGATGATTGAGGCAATATTTGATTAAGGTGTATGAATTACTACGAAGATTTTGATATTATGACAAAAGAAAATCTGCTCTTTTAACTGATGATGCATGGTTTAAGGAACATGACTTTAGGATTTTCAATGAGAAATGCAGGGAGAATGTGAGAAGTAATATTTTTATGTGAGAATGGTAATAAACTTGAACTGCTTGCCTATGTGGGTGGTGAAAGCAGAGACAATCGATTATTTCCAAAGGAACTTGGGTGAGCACTTGGAGCAATAAAGTGAGGAAATCAGGAAGCTTGATTTCTTCTACAGTTCGACGTGCCAAATGGCACTTTTTGTCCATAACATCTACAACTTTAAATAGTCGCAGTGCATAAATGGCAATTATAAATGTGCTATTGTAACAGATTTTTCATGCAAATAGTTATTTCAACATTGGCAACCGCTGTTTTCCGTTAAAAAAAATTGACACTAAGTTAATAGAACACCCTATCATGGGGGAAATATGATTAGGCTTTCGAGATAAGGTTGGCCCAAAGACTTAGCATCAATATCCTTCTTAACTAACCCATAGGAATCTATAAGGGAGAAAAAAGGCTTCAGGGTGGATTGATTGAGTTGAATGGAATTACATTAGTCTTCTAACTGTGAGATTAGTTTAAATTTTTCACAGGAATAAGAGGTGAACTGCTATATCAAGAGGAAAAAATTCCATTGTGCCTTCCAGGACCATTTTACATCCCAATAAACTTTTTTGCAAGTGAAGTAAATTTGAAATGCAGTCACTGCGGCAATATAGGGAGTATAATAACCAATTTTCACCCAGCAAACTCCCACAAGCAGTAATGACCAGATAATTTGTTTTTGGTGAATTTTGTTGAGAGGTGTATGTTGTTCCAGGACCCTTTGCAGAATGTCATCATGCTACTGGATGCTTTACATCTGCCCCAAAGGAAAGTAGGTCACTGAGTCAATGCTTTTGCACAAAACTGCAGTTTTCTCTCTCTCCTGACACTGAGAGTAGGCCTTAAGTGACCCCAAGGGTAAAATGCTTTACATTGAAACAAGTTATCATGGTTGACACAAGCTCTCAATTCACACATTTCTGAGTTCCAAATTCAAATATTTCCTCACATTTAGACGTAAATGTTAGTGTGATTCCTACAGTGAATAAAAATATTCAAAATGTACTATTATACATCATTGGAGAATAATTGATGTAGAGAGGTAAGCTAACTTCTTGCATCAAAGGAGAATGTATTCTATTTTACAGCTTAACTTTACATTGGGAGTCTGAAATAAAAATACGATTCATTTGCTAAAAGAAACATATCTTATTTTATGAAAACAGGTATTTTAACAACGTTTATTACAAATATCTTCACAGAAAACAAAATGCACAGCATGAAAGAAGGAAAATTAATGTACCTGATATTGACTTGCAAAAGTGTCTTTTATGGAATATTCATCTCAATAATTGCTTGGAAAACTAAGGTAAAATTAAACTCAGTAAATGTTTTAAAGTATGCATTCTAAGGCTTGGTTATTTCTAGTTCATTCATATAATTACTTAGAAATTATATTTTAGAACAGTCCATTCTGTCTAAATGGTGCCTTCTACTGTTTGTGCACCATACGAACCTCGTCCGCTTCATCCAACCCTAGCCACATGACCCTCTGTTACTATGCATGTAGATTTGTTTATCTAGCCTGCACCATAAGAGCATCCATGTGATTTATGGTGGAAAGTGAGACAAAGGCTCCGGGGAAACTGCAAAGAACTGGTGCTACTTTTATTCTTTTTGTCCATCCCAAATTGCCCTTCAATTGAGTGACTTTCCATGCCATTTCAGAGGGTAGTTAAGAGTCAAATGCATTGCCATGGATCTACAGTCACATATAGGCCAGGTAAGGATGGCAGATTTCCTTCCCTGAATTACATCAGTTTACTGGATAAAATATTAAAGACAGATTATCAGACTAGCCTCCCTCTGGGCTGCATATTCATGATTCTATGACAATAATATCATCAACTTTTTTTATCATTAGACATCTTACAGCAAAATATTTGACTGATTATCACAAAGCAATGAAGACAATGAACAGACGAATAGCAGAACATATGGAAGAGAGGGAGAAGCAAGAAAAATGAATACTGTGTTTATCTATGGGGTGAATTTGATCCAATTAATTCTCACCACACCACTGTAAAGATCAGCACAATAGCACTATGGAAGATGAATGATGGACATTTATACATTGGCTTATCATTTTCTGCTGAAATAAATCTTTTCAGGGTCTTGACATGTCTTTGCTTTCCTAGTGTCTAAATAGGTTAACTTTTGAGGAATACATAGTATTTTTCCAGTTTTTTGTGGTTACTTATTAATCCATAATCTTTAAAACTTTATAGAGAATCATAGAACTCTTAAATCAAAATGGAAGACCATTTGACCAAACGTGAAAATACAGATATCCTTGAAATTTTTATTACAAAACAATTTTTTACAATTAATTTCACTTTCCCATTTTCTGTGTGAAACTATATCACACGTCCCCTGTGTCGATCTATTAAACTATGTATATTGTTAAGCAAAAAGGCAGATTGTAACTCAAATCTTGTTTAAAACAAATCTTATCTATTAATGTACAAACTGTTATTGCTTGCTTTAGATTTCATTTCATCGGTTGCTGAAACTGAGATCCTCATTGTCCATTATTTTTCATTGGTTTCTCAGTAAATCAGATATTGACAGTTTTCTCATGATTTTGTCCTTTACTCTTTTCTATGTTTGTTCAATGTTTAAGAAATAAATAGAAAGTTTATACAATGAAAGCAATTGCTTTTCGTTATTATTTCAGTTCTTCCCTCTGCACTGTGCCAAGCCTTTCTGAGCATGTTCAAAATGTGTAGTTGAACTTTTGCAAAGTGTTTGTTGGGTAACACTATCAAGGGATACTGATCAATGATGTGTACATGTATCTGAGGTACAGAACTGCCATGATCTAACTGAATATCAGAACAGGTGCATGATATTTAACTGTAATCCTTCTGTTGCTGTGTAATATGCATTAAAGGGGTAAATCATCTCTTCCTATTGCACTGTAACAGGCTTAAGGAGATTGAAAAAGACTTTTTTTGTTTTAATACCATCAACCATGTCAGTGCAAAAGCCTCCAGGCAATTCCATCTCCTTTTTATTCACTGATGGGACTTGGGAGTCGCTGGCAGGGCCTGCATTTATTGCCCATCCCTATTTGTCCTTGAGAAAATGGGGGTGAGCTGACTTCTTGAAGAGCTGCAGACCTACAATGCCTGTAGGGAGGGAATGCTGGGATTTTTACCCAGCAACAGTGAAGGAATAACGATATATTTCTAAGTCAGGACGGTGACTGACTTGGAGGGAAACTTGTAGGTGGTGGTGTACCCATGCATTTGCTGCCCTTGTCCATCCAGACTGAAGTGTTTGTGGGCTTGGAAGCTGCAGTCTAAGGATCTTTACTGAATTTCTCCAGTGCATTTTGCTAGACCACTAATACTGAACACTGATGGTGGAGGAAGTGGATGTGATCCCAGTCAAGCAGGCTGCCTTGTCCTGGATGGTGTCAAGCTCCTTGAATGTTGTTGGAGCTGCACCCATTCAGGTAAGTGGGAGCATTCTATCATACTCCTGATTTGTGCATTGTAGATAGTGGATAGACTTTGGGAAGGCTGGCATTGTGGCTCAGTGGTTAGCGCTGCTGTCTCACAATGCCAGGGACCTGGAATCGATTCTAGCCTCAAGCGACTGACTTGTGGAGTTTGCACATTCTCCCTGAGTCTGTGTGGATTTGCTCCAGGTGCTCCAGTTACTTCTCACCGTTCAAAGATGTGCAGTTTAGGTGGATTGGCTACGCTAAGTTGCCCAATGAGTCCAAAGATGTGCAGGCTGCATGGATTAACCATATGAAATGCATGGTTAGGATAGGATAGGGGTCTGGGTGGAAAGCTCTTTGGAGACAGTGTGAATTCGATGGGCCCTATGGCCTGCTCCCACTCTAGGGATTCAATGATTCTAATTCAGTAGGTGAGTTATTCACCACAGAATTCCTCATCTCTGACCTGCTGTTTAGCCACTGTATTTATATGGTGAGTCCAATTGAATTTCTGGTCAATGGTAACCCCAGGATGTCAATAGAAGTGGATTCAGTGATGGTAACACCATTGAATATGAAGAAGGTGTGGTTAAGTTGTCTCATAATGGAGATGGTACTTGCCTGGCATTTGTGTGGCATGAATGTTACTTGCCGCATGTCAGCCCATGCCTGGATATTGTCCCGTTCTTGTTGCATTTGAAACTGGGACTGCTTCAGTAGTTAATATTCTAGGCCTAAGTGTACTGAATAGTTTTTAACATGACATATTCAAGCAGGTTGCATGAATTCTCATTTCCATTTTACTGAAGCTGCAGTATGTAATTCTGGGAATGAAATATTAAACCAATACCTCAGGAATTGGAGTTGTTTTCATTTAATCATGGGATATGTTCGACACTGCTAAAGTCAGCACATTTTAACCATTCCTAAAGTCGACATGAATGCTCAATGGTTCGCATTGCTGCCTCATAGCACCAGTGACCCAGGCTCAATTCCAGTTTTGGATGACTGTGTGGATTTTGCACTTTCTCCCTGTCTCTGTGTGGGTTGCCGTTGGGTGTTCCAGGTTCCTCCCACAGTTCAAAGATGTGCATGTTAGGTGGCTTGGCCATGCTAAATTGCCCATAGAGTTCAGCAATGTGCATGGGAGAAAGTTTAGCCATGGTAAATGCATGGTTATGGGAATAGAGTGCAGGGCTGGGATGCTCTTCAATCAATGCAGACTTGAAGGGTTGAATGGTTCCTTTCCACAACTGTAGGGATTCTAGATTCTAATTATACTTGAAAAAGTGACCCACCTTCAAACACAGCTGAATTACTGTTAGGCTATTTCAGAGGTACATTAAGACTTAAATATATGACTATAGGCTTGGAGATATATTAAGGCCACAATATGAAAGGCTGGCATATTTCTCTCAAACCAGGTGGAGTGAAGGAATTTGAATTCCGTCATCTGCAACCACTATGTCACTGTAGACCTCATATGTAATTTCACTAAGATTTCTTAAATTATCCAAACCCAGAAGACACTTAATCTCCCCAGTTATACACAGGACAAAGCAACCTGCTTTGTAAAAAGTTTCATTCAAATTGACAGTGATCCAAACACCTCCGAGATAATGTCCAAGTGAGAAATTGGTAATCCCATAATCACAGAAGTGTTAAGTGTGGAAGGATGCCATTCAGCCCATAATTTCTGCACCAACTTGTTGTATGAACATCATCACTTCATGCCATTCTACTGTCAATTTCCTGGAACTCTGCCCATTGTTTCTATTTAAATAATCATCCACTATCCACTTGAATGCCTCAATTGACTCTTCCTCCACTACACTTCCAATGACTATATTCCTTACACAACCTACTCACTGAATGAAAAAGTTTTTCCTCACTTCACCCTTGCTTGTTTTGCACATCACAATGTATCTATGCTCCTTCTGTTCCTGTCTTCATTAACTGTGTCTCCAGATTCTCCATAGAGACACCTATTTCTCGCTCAAGTGCCTCTGCTGTGTCATGATTTCTACATTCTCAGTGTTTGCTGATTCAGTAATTGCTCCAAAATCTCCAAAAGAGTTGTTATCAACAGGGGAAAAAAAACTTAGATTATTTAATGACTGCCTTATTGGCTATCTTTCTGATCTCCCCAAAATGCGAAAGTATCTTTTCTTATATCTATCCTATTGAACACATTGGTAAATTTAACAGCACCTATCAGGTTTCCACTCAGCCTTCTGTCTCTATAGAAAAGTGAACAAGCCTGTACAGTCTTTACTGGTGGACTAACACTCCAAACTGGCACAGTCTCTTGGATTTTATTTTAATAAATGTGTTCACAGGATGTTGACATCACTAGTTAGGCCAGCATTTAGTTCTCATCCCTAGTCATCCAGACTGCAGTTATCCTGGAGCTGGACCAGCTAAGGAAAGTAGGTTTTCTAAAGGAGTTTGAGTTTGATTTATTGTTATCACATGTACCGAGTGAAAAGTGTTATTTTACGTGCTATACAAGCAGATTGTACCATACAAAGTGCTTCAGGGTAGCAGAATTGAATGCAGAATACAGTGTTACAACTGCAGGAAAGGTGCAGAGACAGATCAACATTAATATTTGAGAGGTCTACTCAAAAGTCTGATAACAGCAGGGAAGAAGATGTGCTTGAACTGAAACAGAAGTTGCTGGAAAAGCTCAGCAGGTCTGGCAGCATCCGTGAAGAGGAAATCAGAGAACTGAGGAAGTGTCACTGGACCCGAAACATTAACTCTGATTTTCTCTTCACAGATGCTGCTGAGCTTTTCCAGCAACTTCTGTTTTTGTTCCTGATTTACAGCACCCGCAGTTCTTTTGGTTTTTATTAAGATGTGCTTGAATCTGTTCATGCATATATTCAAACTTTTATGTCTTCTGCCCAATGGAAGAGAATAGAAAAAAGTATAACCGGATGGGAGGGGTCTTTGATTATATTGGTTGCTTTTCCAAGGCAGCAGGAGGAACAGATGAAGTCAATAAATGGAGGGCTGGTTTGCATGATGGACTGGGCTGTGTTCACAATTCTGTAATTTCTTGCAGCCTAAGGAAGAGCGGTTGCCACACCATGCTGTGATACTTCCAAATAGAATGCTTTCTATGGTGCATCTTTAAAAATTGGAAAGCGTATTGTGGACATGCCAAATCTTCTTAGCCTCCTGAGGAAGGAGGCATCATTGTGCTTTCTTGACCATCGAGTTAACATGGGTGGACCAGGGCAAATTGCTGGTGACCAACATTCCCAGGACAGAAGCACAAAGGTTTATATGGCAATCAGCGCATGATCACCATTAGGCCACCTTTTAATTTCAGATATTTATTAAATTCAAACATGCTGCTGTGTAATGTGAATCCAGGTTCGCAGAACATGAGTCATGTGTTCAACATTACTAACTCAGGAACATTGCTGCTTCACCATCACCTCCACACAAAGATCAAAGCATTCTCATGTACCAATTCAACATTTAGGCCTGCTTTACAACATTGTAAGCAGAACATGTTTTGAGAACTCATAACACTCTCTATCGGGGATAGTATCTCTTTGATTCTGATTTCACTGTTACCCTCTTTGCTCCTATCTGCCCACTCCTCCAACACTGTGACCCACACCCCACCTCCCCCATATCCTATAAGTCTTTGTCCCTGTATTCTCTTTTCCTAAATCTTGATTCTTTCTTTCTGTGTAACCTCCCCGCTATCACTTCTCTTTTTTTTATGAATTTCCTCTCTTTTTTTTCTGAATCTTTGTTACTCTCTTCTGCTCCTATCTCTCTTGATATTTTTAACAATAACTTCTCTCCCTTTCTTTCCCACCTGTCTCTCACACATTTGTTTTTATCCTATCTACTGTCTGTTTACGTTCTTTTCTGTCTCCATATTTCTCACCAGTTCTCTCAGATATTAAGCGTTTCACACGATCTTTCCAAACCTGTTCTACCTACGTAACTTCCCCTCTCTCATACTTTCTCTGCCTCACTCAATCTAATTCTTGTGAATGTCTGTCTTTCTTTCTCTCTCACTATATATTCTGCCCTCTATTTTACTATTTCTCTATCCCTTTCTTTTTTCAGTTCGTTATTTCACTCACTGTCTCTCTCCTTCTGCATCAGTCTCTTCTTCTGTCTCTGACTTCATATCTTTCCCTTTCTCCTTTGTCTTCCTCATGCCCTCTG